TTACCAGGATGTTTAAATCTAATTGACCAGTCCTGCAGTAAGAAACAAAAAAAACAAAAACAGTATATAGTCTGTGAGTGGGGCATCATGGTGTTTCAGTGGTTAGCTCAGTTAGGGCTGTCACTAAGTAACTAAAAGTTATTGGTTTAAGCTGTGACACAAGTCCAAGGTCATGCTTGTTATGTTAACTGGTGATTCTAACGTTAACTGTGCTTGGATGTGAAAGTGAATTGTCTGTCTCTGTGTGTTAGTGCTGTGATGGGCTACTAACCTTTGTAGGGAGATCCTGCTTCTCCCTGTGACTTATTGGAAATGACTACCAGAACCCCATCCAAGTTGGATTATCAGTTAAGAAATTGGTTGGATTTTCCTAGATCGCTATGAAGTACGAATTTAGCTCATTGGTGTATTTTAGATAAACACCAGTAAATCCCTAACTTGGCAAACGTATTAATATTTGTAATGTTAAATAATTGATCTTTGAAAATTAAAATCAGCAGTCTTTATCGGTCCAATCAAGAACAAATGTTGATATTACAATATTAGAAAGAAGCATCATTAATTACATGACTCCCTGTGAGCAAGCACTTGTGGGGACTGTGGGAAGGAAAAACTCCCCTTCACCAGGAAGAAACCGGGTTCAGGGAAAAACCCAGGTCCAGGGAGGGCAGCCATATACTGTTCTCACATTTGTCATTTCTTTTATTTGTGAGTTTTCCTTTTAAATAATAGGTGCTGTTGGTTGCTTTTTAGATACTTTGGCCATGTTTTGCCATTGCATTCGCTAGAATATCTTGGCTACCTTTACTCATTAGTAGTCATCTCCTCATCATCATTCTTTGTTTTTTCTCCAATGCGAGACTCGGGGCAGAGTGGATGATACGTTGACTTGGTTCACAATCTCATCGTTAAAAAAAGATACAATACCATCACACATCAACTATCATATATGTCATATATGTTATGATTTAAAAGTTTGCTTACATGTAAATGGTGCAATATATAGAACAACTGGGGGTTAGTATCTTGCCCCAGGATACCTGGCATGCAGACTGAGGGATCAGGGATCAAACCACTAACTTTCCAATCATGATGACCTCCTGAGCTGCAGCCACCCCATAACATATCAAAATGTCTGTTTATCTGCACACCACGAAGAGCACTGAAGAATGATGAATGGTCTGCACAGACCCTGACTTTGTCATGAATCGCTGTGTGGCAGGAAAGCAGGAGTGGTGGACCCAAAATGCAGAACTCAGACATGGAAGTGAAACTTAAAGTGCAGCTTTATTGCTGGGAAAAACCTCGTACAAACTAAACTCACCAAAAGAAAACCAAAAGTCAGAACAGAGGAACCAAGGACTGAAACACTGGAAAGAAACACTAAACTGGAGCAGGAGACCAAACACTAGGAACATAGAAGCAGACCACACAGCTAGTTGAGGGTACGACACGACACTGACACAGAGAAACACAGGGCTTAAATACACAGATGGCAGTAATCAAGGGATGAGAGACAGGAGGGGAACACACCTGGGAGAAATCACAGCTAACGAGACAGGGGAAACGTAAACTGAGCACACGCACATATGACACAGACCTTCACAATAAAACAGGAAACTCAGACACATGGAACCAGACAAGACATTGAACTAAACAGACAGATTCACAAACAGATGGGGTGACACCATAGACAGACAGAGACACAGACTCAAAGGCAGACCAAATATCACACATAGAACTCAAACAATAATAATCATCATCATCATAAACTAGAAAATGATAACTAAAAGCGCTGGGTCACCGACCCAGGACCATGACAGACTTCAACATCATCCAGCATCTTGGAACAAACTGGAAAAACAACAGTAGGAGTCCTCACCACCCCACATAAGTGTTGATCTTTGCTAATGTCTCCATATATTAACACTGTGAACAGCAAAAGTCTATTTTTAAGGTGGTTTAAATTACCTCTGTGCATAACCTTTACAGAAGAGCATTTAACCATGATGGAACTCAACATAATCTGGATAAAAAAAATTATTGCCAGCAGTTAACCAAACAATCACTATTGGTTAACTCTTGGTCAACCCGCAAATGCCCATTTTGTCTTTTTGCATGAAGTACTTTTGCATAAAGACTGCAACTAGCACCACTAGCTAACATTGGACTCGGCAGTCAATTTCATCAATGATCATTAATGGTCATGAATATTTGGTGCAATATACAATATATACATATATTAATTACAAAACAATAGAAAGGCACAAATTGGAGAACAAAGTGCTTAGGCCAGTCACACAAGGACTCTATACTCAGATCTCAGACCAAGTTCTTTTGCACTGCTTCTGAGTGATGAGGGTTACTCAGATCATGACTAAGATTGGTAATGTGGGTGAGCAGGGGTGGGGTGTGGGGGGATAGTGTTTGCCAAAAGTCTAAATGGCCCAAGGATTCTCCTAAGGGCAGCGGATCTTACAGGTGGTGGGCAGTGTGCAAGGGGTCACCTGCGATGGCCCTGGTGTTCCTGAGATAGGAGGATCTGGTGATGGCCTCCAGGATTGGCAGAGGGCAACCAATGATTTTTGGGCAGTGTTAATTACCTTCCATACAGCCTTCCTATTCTCAATAGTGGTTCCTGCATACCAAACACCCAGGCAATAGGAAAGCACACTCTCCATTGAGGAGCAATAGAAGGCCAGCAGCAGCTTGTGATCCAGGTTATTGTTCCCCAGCACACAGAAGAAGTGCAGCAGCTGTTGGAGCTTCTATTCCAGGGCATTGATGTTGTGGGTCTAGGTGAGATCAGCATAGATGTGGGTGCCCAGAAACCTTAAAGTGGAGACAGATTTCATCCGTTCTCCATTTATAAAGAGAGGCAAGGCAAGGCAAAGCAAGTTTATTTGTATAGCACAATTCAACAACAAGGTGATTCAAAGTGCTTTACACAGACATTAGAAACAAGACCAATTGCTTGTCTAATTTTTTGGATTTTTCTGTGAAGAATTTGGCAAAGTCATTGCAGGCCATGGTCGAATGAAGTTCAGCTGCCACTGACACAGGAGGGTTTGTTAGCCTGTCAACTGTAGAAAATAAGACCCGAGCATTATGGCTGTTTTTAGTGATGATGTCAGAGAAGTAGGACCTTCTTGCATTCCTCAGTTGTAAATTATAATTGTGAAGTTTCTCTTTATAATGTCATAATGAACCTGGAGGTTTGTTTTTCTCCATCTGCGCTCAGCTTTCCTACACTCTCTTTTTTCATTTTTCACCAGTGTGGAGTTTCTCCATGGAGACTTTTTCCTTCCAGAGATAACCTTCACCTTAATGGGAGCAATAGTGTCCATTACATTTAACATGTTAGCATTGAAGCTATTGACGAGCTCATTGACTGACCCTCTGGACAGGTCAGGTGTTAATGGGAAGACCTGGTTAAAAATTGCACTACTGTGTTCAGTTATACACCGTTTTGTGATCACTGTTGTTGATATATTTGTGTGGGCTGAGATTTTACTTTCAAAGAAAACACAGTAATGATCAGACAGGCCCACATCAGACACAGTAACCTTTGAAATGCTCAGGCCCTTGGAGATCAGTAGGTCAAGAGTGTGTCCTCTATTATGTGTGGCCTCTGTTACATGCTGAGTCAGCCCAAAGTTGCCCAGAGTGTTACTCAGGTCTTTAGTCCCTTTGTCCTGAGGGTTGTCCACATGAATGTTAAAATCCCCAGCAATAATTACACAGTCAAAATCAACACAGATCACAGACAGCAGTTCACTGAGGTCATTAAAAAAGTCTGTGCAGTATTTGGGAGGCCTGTAAACATTAAGAAACACAACTTTGGATGGGGCCTTCAGCTGTAAAGCCACATATTCAAAAGACTGAAAACTTCCAGGAGATAGCTGCTTACATTGAAATGATTCATTAAATAAGACAGCAACCCCTCCTCCTCTCCTGCTCACCCTGGCCTCACTGATAAAACTGTAGTTAGGAGGGGTCGTCTCGATGAGAACAGCTCCACTGTTACTTTGGTCCAACCAAGTTTCAGTTAAAAACATAAAATCAAGGCTGTGCTCAGTGATTAAATCATTAATTAAAAATGTTTTCCCAGCTAAGATCTAACGTTTAATAAAGCCAACTTAAGTGTTTTAGAGGATTACTTGTCCCCTCGTGTTTGGGAGCAGTCTGTGGCACACAAGGTATGTTTACTATTTTAAAGATCTTTTAGAGTGCAGCTCTCTGTGTTTTGACCAGGCCACATGTCTCCTGTCACCTAAAAGTACAGAAATTTTAAAACCTTCTAGTAAACAGGGTCCCAGCTTCTCCTGGGAAAAGTCACACTGCCATAATCCTCACAGCCCGGACCCTCCACACATCACACATCAGACTGCGGAGACAGGGCATGAAGAGGAACTAAGGGGGGCGAGGCTGGGCAATGTGACTTCGATTGCTCTGTTGAGGGTGGGGCTCGATGGCGAACCTTTGGCCGCTCTGGTGGGGGGTTTATGGGGGACAAAAAGGGATTGGGACGGGGGGTAGATCTGAGCCCAGCATTGACCCGCTCCATCATCTCCTCAGTGAATTTCAGGTGTGGGGAGGAGGGAGAAAGGGAGGGGGAGGAGGGTGATGGCCTGTCAGGGGTTTGGGGGACTGGGGAAGGTCGTGGTCCCTTGTCCTGGTCGTTGGTGTTGTTGAGAGAGTTGGAGGCAAATAGGGACCCCTCTTCTTGCCTTAGATGTCTCTCCTTTCTGAGGCTCTTCCTCAGATGCCATGGATGTCTCTCCTTTCTGAGGCTCTTCCCGGGTGGGGGCAAATGGAGCTCCTCCTCAAGGTTTCTGCTGGGCTTTGTCTGTTCTTGGAGTACTGTTTGTTCCTCTTTATGAGATAACTCCTCGTTTATCTCAGCCTTGGCACCAAGCACGGATGGATGACGTATGGAATAAAACAAGTTGGAGGTGAACAGTTTCACCCCTGACTTGTTAAAATTAAATCCATTTGCTTTAACAGATGCCTGCGTTCCCAAAAAATATTAAAGTTGTGATAAAATGCACTGAGTGGTCAGCACATGCTGATATAAGCCATTTATTCAGTGTAAACAACCTGCTGAATCTCTCGTCTCCTCCTCTGACCGGCGGTACAGGTCCACTGATGAATACAGCTGCATTCAGAGAGTTTACAGTATTTAATAATCCAGTAAAGTCCCGTTTCAGAACCTCCGACTGTTGTTTGGACACATCGTTTGACCCTGTATGCAGAACAATGTTTGTCACAGTTGGATATTCATCTGCAATTTGAAGAATTCTCTCCTTCAGGTTGTTGACCATATCGTTAGGAAAGCAGAGGACTTTAGTGTTCTTACCGCACATCCTTTGTACATCCTTTACGGCAGAGTCACCCACAATCAGAGTTTCAGGCCTAGCCTTTAGCTTTCCCTGTGGCCTTTCACTTTTCAACAGATTTTCAGACCTTATTTCGCTGCTTTTAGATGGATGGTTGTCCGATATAGATCCAGGGTCCTTTGATAGTGGAGCAAATCTGTTCTGCAGTTTCACATTCAGTTGTTTTGGAGGTTTGTTGTTAACCTTCCTATTCACGGTTGTCCAGTCCTGTTTCCTCCCGTATACAGGGGTAGAAGAGCTTCTCTGTCTCGTAGGAAGTGAAGGCCAGTCGGTTTCAGAGATTTCAGCTCGCTGTGCCCTGCCTGTGATACGTCCTCCCCCTTCCAGGAGACATGATTTATGTCTTGGTTTTGCACCAAGACAGTCTAAGGGGGGATTATCACTTGAGGATTTATAATAATGCACAGAGTCTACTTTCTTGGTCATGTTATCTGTGCTCCTTAGCTGTGTACTAGCTTGCTCATCGCCATTGTTTTGAATCAAAGGCAAGGTTGTTTCATTTCCACACAGTCCATTTACCTCCACGTTTACTTCTAAGCGATGAATTTTTGTCTCCAGTACTGCAATCTTCTGCAGGAGGCTGTGGTAGTCATCTGTGGAGAGGGAAGGCATCTTGTTGCTAGTTAGCCTAGCGGTTAGCACCTTTCCAGGCTATTGAGGCTGCTCGGTGCCCAGACGCTGTAATCAGGCTTCAGCTGTGTCTAGGCCACAGACACACGGAGCGCTGAGGACAAGGTAACCATAAAATGTTGCTGTTTCTGTT